GCCCTGAAATAGGCGTACGCCACTTCCCACACATAAGTTGTGACTTATAAAAACAAACTTGACGGGAGAATCAAACCTGTATGCAAACTCTGAATATATAATATATATATATATATATATATATATATATATATATATATATATATATATATATATATTCACTCTGATACATACACACTGTAAAAATGAATACACTATCTAGTCAATAAAATTGTGGCAACAGATTACAAGCAATATTATTAATTACATTTAACAAATTAGAATTGAGTAATAATTAATCAAATTAATTCCTTAAAAGTTAACCATTTAAAACGAGTAAAATTTACACAAAAAAAATTAAACAAAACTATCTGAATAACAGACAGATGTCAAAGATAAATTAATAACTCTTTATTTTACATTGCCAACATTGAAGACACCTGATGTTAACAAGCAGAATCACTGAAGGAGAAAACCGTAATTTTAAGTCACCATTATGGTGATCAGTGTTTGCTTTAGTTGGGCTCTTGACCCTTAAGTCATTAACTTAAGTTTTGTTTGGCTGCTGTACATGAGTTATAACAGCCAGATGAACAAAGAGAAAAGGTTATATGATGGTGTTGGTTGTTTTTTAACATAATCATTATTTCACAATCATTTGACCTGAATCACTGAACTCATATAGAGCCCAATTTCTGAGTTAGGTTTACTTTATTAATTATAGCAGCACTGTCCTTGTACAGCATAATATTTTTAACTTTTACAATGTAATCCAAATAATTTCTTAAATGAGTCTCATATACAAATTTTTTTTTTTTTTTGTACCATATTCTGGTGTGGGGGAAAACAATAAAATAAATTAACTTAGTAAATGTTAGTTTTACTTGGAGGGGGGGAAAAATATTACAATTTTTATCAATATTATTTCTTTCTAAAAATAGCCAAATCTATTTCTCTTTGCTTCCCCTTATGCAATTAACAGGCGGTTATCATAGCTAGGTTTGGTGGTTGTCTCCACACTGTATGACTTTATTGAGGCTGGGCTCAAGCTTATGAATTAAATGATTAAATTAGGTGATCTGTTAATATTAGCAGTCATTAATATTCATGAGCTGTTCGTGGATGGGCCACCATAGCTTGAGTTGGACATGTACAGTCCAAGGGGCCTCATTTATAACCGTTGCGTCGCACAAAACAGGCCCTGAAAGAGGCGAACGCAACTTCCGACGCTTGTGATTCATAAAAACAAGCTTGACGGGAGAATGTGCGCACCTGTACGCAAGCTCTGAGCCATGCGTACAAACATTTTGGAGACGGAGCGGTTTGGTGAGCCGAGGGACTGACGGCAGATGAATCTTCATTATGAGTCCTAATCATAAATACAGTGCATGTTCACAATAACAGTTTAGATGAATAAAATTATTATTTAAACTATGTTTGAAGTTTAAGAAACATTTTTCTGAAATGTATTTGATTTATTTATTCAAAAACAAGGCAAGGATAGGCTACTAAATGGGTTTTAGCAATGTAATGTGACGGCACAACTGTATCGCATATTGTCCTAATGTCTTGTACCGTTGAACATGGTATCACGTGGATGAATATGCATATGCAAATGATATGCACATGAGGAAATGCATAGTAAAACGAGGTGTTGTAAGCTCCATATATGGGTATTTCGGGGTGGAGACGCATGTGCGCACAATCTTACGCTGACTGAGTTTATAAAGGGAATTTTGTTTTATAAGTCTGAATATTTTTGGCTTTCGGGCGCACGTACACTTTTAGTGCGGATTTAAAATCCTACGTTTTATAAATGAGACCCCTGGTTTGTTTATTCTGTCCTCAGAGATCTGAAGTTGGATAACGTGATGTTGGACGCCGAGGGCCACATTAAGATCGCAGACTTCGGCATGTGTAAGGAAAACATGTATGAGGGCATGACGACGCGCACCTTCTGCGGGACGCCGGATTACATCGCCCCGGAGGTGAGGGAGCCATTCAACAAGTAGTTCTTACAAACAAACAAACAAAAAAAATTGACTCATCCTTAGTGGTGTAGTCACGATATATCGCAATACAAAAGTGCAACAATATGTATCGTGGATAGTGACAATCTGTATTGTGGATAGTTCACCCAAAATAACATATCTGTGTGAGAAAAAAATCAAGTTTAGAGAGTTTTAGTGTCAGTACTACATTAAACTGCTATATATAATGTTGAATATAATGTATAATAATGCAATATTTGTGGGTCATGATAATGCCAAATGTTACCAGTAAAAGTGGCCAACATTATTTTAAATATATCTAGTCAGACAGTGACAGAGATTAAGCATATTCATCTGAAATAATCCTGTTTTCAGCTTCAGAATCATGAATATGTTTATTCTGGTGTCTCTATTGTCCTGTGCTTTGGGTTTCAGCACCAAGTCCAAGACTATTCATTCACACACACAATGTAACACCAAATTTAGCATTTTAATCAACAGTATTTTTAATCAATAATCAACATTTTTGTTAACCTTTTATCATTGTATCGTGAGTTCAGTATCGTGATATGTATCGTATCATGATATGAGGGTATCGTTACACCCCTAGAAAATATCATATTAAAACAGATTGACGACATATTTAATCAGTAATAACTGAAAACATGCAAATTCTTTTAATGGTTATTTAGGGAAATCTTGCATCTTTTTGTTGCTTAATCTAAAAATGTTTTTGGTCAGTTTGTGTTGCTAAATCTTTATGTGTGTGTGTGTGTGTGTGTGTTACACACATGGCCACTTCATTCACTAATAGCCACATTTTAAATTGCTCTCTTCTGCAAAAGCACACAGTGATATTGACCTGGAGATTAGCGTTGTGACATTTCCACTGTGGCAGCTTGGCATTGTGTGTGTGTGTCCGTGTGTGTGTGTGATGGGCAGGTTTAGGGGTCGGGTTAGTGTTTGGGGAGAGTATATACAGTTTGTACAGTATAAAACCATTACATCTGTATGTGTGTGTGTGTGTGTGTGTGTGTGTGTGTGTGTGTGTGTGTGTGTGTGTGTGTAGCACTGTGGGTAGCAGGAACATCATGCTCTCTTCCAGCGTCACGGCACAAAGGAGACGCACAGTGTGAAAAGCATATTGTAGGTGGGAAGAGAGAAAGCAAACAAACATGATGTATTTCTGGCAGGATCCTTATAGTTCAATGGAAGCTTTTGAAAGAAACGGGGCAGTTTGATTCTCAGTGCTCATGTTTTTATTACATTGTGAGAACCAAATGTCCCCACAAGAACAGTAAAACGTGAAATCACCTACATTGTGAGGACTAGCCAATGGTCCCCACAAGGGAAATTGATTAATTAACATACTTAATGATGTTTTTTAGAAAATGTAAAAGAGCAGACATTTTTCTCTGATGGGCAGGTTTAGGGGTAGGGTTACTGTAAGGGGACAGAATATACAGTTTGTACAGTATAAAACCATTACATCTATGGAGAGTCCCCACAAAGATAGTGGATCAGACGTGTGTGTGTGTGTGTGTGTGTGTGTGTGTGTGTGTGTGTGTGTGTGTGTGTGTGCGTTGGTGCGACCGGATTATGAGGACAAAAACCATGGATACATACCGACTCTATGAGGACATACCGTAACTACGAGGACAGCACTACTGTCCTCATAAGTCGAGCAGTGTAGAAAGGCTTATCAGGCTGCGCCTAACCACCTCCCGCTTTTTCTCAATTATGTCCTTATAAATCCGTTGTACCCGTTTTTCAGTGTGTGCCAGAGTATGCTCAGAGTGTATAATCTCCCTCTATGTGAAATTCGACGCTACTGCAGTATCATACACATTTCATACACCCATACCACGCCCAAGCGCGATTCATTGGTGGAACGCTGGAATCCTCGTCAGTGATTGGCTGCTGGAATCCTCGTCAGTGATTGGCTGTATTTCACATCCGTCAAAGTCAGCGCGCCTGCGCCTCTGATCTTCTATCGCAGACGTGTGGTGTGACGGTGTGATTAATCAGAAGATTAATCATCATCATGAAAGATTAATTAGCAGAATTCGAGCGAAGTTGACGAGCTATAGTGGGAGATTTTCACTTTATCACGAGGAAGGTAAGTGCGTTTATTTATATATTCTACCTTTATGGAGTTAAGTGTCATGAGTCAGACAGTTTTTAATAACGTTAGTTACATTCCTTTAAACGTGGCCACTAAACGTGGCTAATATAAGTCCATAAGCAGTTGGATACTAGTATTAGTATTAGTTGATGAAAGATACATCTCCATGGATGCTTGAGAGAATTAATTTACATTTTGAAATAAATCAAATCTATGTTGTCATCGTGATGACTGGTAAAGTTGAGTGGATGAATTTACAGTTTAATACAGTAAGATACAGAAATATATTAAATAAACAGAAACGAGACTAATGTAAAAGTATACTTTCATTAATGTAACGTTACTGTCATTAGAATGACTTGCCAAAATTATCTGGTTGATTCATTTTAGGGCTGGATATTAGCAGACATTTTATGATTCCATTCAATTTTAATTCACGTGCTTTCGATTCTATTTCCAATTCGATTTTACATTTATTATTTTAATGTAAATCAGGTGTAATACATGTAACATTTTCTAAAACTTTCTATAGTTAATTTTTCTAAGTAACGAGTTTAGCTTCATTTGATCTGAGGCGCCACATTAAAGAGTGATAAAATGGTATTAAAATGGACTGAATTTGAAATCGGAGACTGTTTCTTATCAAAAGTAACAAGCCTCAAAACCTCACTGATCAACTATTTCTGTGTAAAATGTTGTATTTATTGATATAGACTACAGTCTGACAATAATGTACTGCATATAAAGCATATCTATCTATCTATCTATCTATCTATCTATCTATATATATATATATATATATATATATATATATATATATTTATATTTATAAATACATACTAATTATGTTGTCTGGAATGTTTTCAGTCAACATTTTAAGAAAGAAGAGAATAAAACCTGAGCAAGATGCAAAAGAACACATATTGTCGGGCAAAGACAAAGCCTTCATTGAGGGACGACAAATCAACACATTCAAAGGTAAATTGTGCACCACAAGGCAATTTGACTATGTTCAGACTGCAGGCAAATCAAATCATAAAGTAGGCATGCACTTGTAAGAATGAAAAGTAGGCCTATTGCTGGCAGTCTGGACATGATCTTTCACATTCACACATTTTACCCTTGGGTAAGCCGCTCATTTTCATAAAGGTTAAGAGATGAAAAAAAAAACTTTAAACAATTTTTTTTATAATTATTATTTTAAAATAAATACATAAAACTATGTATACAGAGAATAGTGTAACCAAATTCAACTAGTAGGCTATATCACAGTGAAAACCAATGCTTGATTATTTTTTTTATTTCCTGCACCTCATATTACATTACACAGTTTTACAGGATTTAACTCTTTAAAAGGATAGGTTGGTTAGCTGTGTAACATATAGGTGCACTTGGATTCATGTTTTATTTGTATTATTATATATTTTTTTGCCCTTTTAGGGAGAGGTGTGTTTGCACTTGAGCACATTGAACCATCCACCTTTGTTGTTGAATACCGTGGGATTCTCTCTCAAAGTAAACATGTTAAAGATGTTCAAGGCAACTACTTGTTTGACTTCACATGGAATGGAACACGTTATTGGTAAGCTGGCTGTTTCTTTTTTGGTTTATTTATTTTTGGTTCATATTCAGAGCAAACTAGTTGCATGTCATTCTAATAAAAACAGTTATGATTATGATTTATTATTATTACTATTATTATTACAATATAGGGCTGCACGATTTGGGGAAAATGTCATTGTGATTATTGAGGTCAATATTGCAATTGGAATATGCGATTGCGATATAATAAACAAATGGTTTCATGAGTCAACTTGCTTGGTTCTAAAGCAAAATGCACACACAGATTAGTGATAATTCTGAAATGTGTATTTCTCAACTCAAACTAGCAACAACAACTAAATGATTGATAACATCTAAGCCATTGATGTCTGGATAAAAATTAATCCACCCCCATTTAAAACATTAATTAGAGCCATCCAACATTACAGTGATTCCATCATTACAATTGAAAGCTATAATTTTTTTTTAAAACATTTATTAGACGTCAAAAAATATAACAGCTTTTAATTTAAGTGAACTTCAAATAATCCTCACATAAACCCATTATAAATGACATGTCATATTTACCTGTGCCCTTCCTGTCTTAACAGGTATGCAGAAATTTAATAAAGTTATCAAACAGTCTGCGACTCTGCGCTGCATAAATAATAAATAGACTAATCCTTATTAAAGCTACATAAGTTCTTTAGTCAAGAGCAGTGAGTAATTTTCTCTGTCCCCTTTGTTCTGTGATTAACTTTACTGACAGAAAGCTTTGGCTGCTGGCCCTTTAAGAGCAGCCGCTGCTGACAGAGACGCGGATCTCACATGCGCCTCATCCTCTCACAACTCTATACGTCCATCATAAGACTGCTCTTATGTTATGAAGATACTCGACAAACGACATTTTGGCATAATTGTGTGTGTTGTTGTTCGTTCAAGAGCGAAAGAGAACTGTATTCTGGCGCGTGTCTTTCTGTGAGTCACAGTCGGACATTCAGCGCGCTCTCTTTTGACTTGTCTCGCATGAATGGTTTTAAGCAATCGCATGAGAGCATTATCATGTAACACTAGCCAAAGGATGACAAAAAATAACAGATGCTGCGTTAATTGCGTTAACAGCCCATTGTTTATTTTACATAAAATCGCAGCATTTTGCGCCATATAATCGCACAGGCTTGACATCGCGATTACGATTGCGATAAGATTAATCGTGCCGCACTATTACAATAGCAGATTTGCTAGGGTTCTCATAACATTAGGAACTTATTAGTTAGTGATAATCAATAACATGGTTATTGTTCAACTGGGGTATTTTTTTTTACCTTAAGTGGATCATCTGACCTATTAAATTCTTAGGAAGTCAAGTTAACTTTCACAATGTGTATTTGAATATAGGTTAAATAGGCCAAGGTTAGCCTAACCCAAATGTTCAGTTAGAACCGTATGTTTCAGTGTGTGTCTATGTTTTAAGTTTCTTACTGCACTATTTTTATCACAGCATAGATGCAACAAAAGAGGACGGTGGAGGAATGATGATGACAAAAATCCAAATTGCAAAGTCAAGACAATCATTGTTGACGGAAGGCCACACCTGTGTCTGTTTAGTATAAGACATATCTTTCCAGATGAGGAGGTCACATACAACTATGGGGATTCCTCTTGGCCTTCGCGTTTAAGGGTGAGTCTCTTAAAGACTTTATCACTGAAAGTCAACCATGTTCTGTATTTCATGAATGTTAGTTTTTTATATGATGCAGATTATTTAAAAAAATTCTGCACGTCTGCTTTGTGCATGACGGAGCCATGAAAGGGACACTAGATATTTAGACTTTGGTTGATAGTAGAATTAGTTGCGGTGACCAATTGGCAAGCATCCTTGCCTCAGTGTTGTACCTGTCTTTCTCATAATTACAGGAATTGTGTGACGAGACATCAGTGGCTGTGACTGAATGCAGTGTGAATCCTTCCTCATCAGTAGGGATGGGAATTGATAAGATTTTATCAATATCAATGCCACTAACGATTCTGCTTATCGATCCGATTCTTTAACGATTCCCTTATCGATTCCTGATAGCACTGTGTGGAAATAAGTAGTCATATGCTTTTTCGGGGGGGGACGACAACAAGTGGTTTTATTTGTTTTAAAGCTTACACTTGAGTAAGCAAACTGTACTTTTTGTGTAATTTATGTAATAAATGGAACCTTATTGTAAAGTGTTACCGATCAGTTATACACTGATTAAACGTCCCGTGAGTTCCATGTTGGAAAGAGAAGTTGTTTTTACCATTCATTAAAACGAATTGGTTCAAATGAGTCATTAGTTCGCGAATTGGACGTGTCATTATCGGACGTGTGCCGTGTGCGCGTTGTGTGATTATCCCGGCGCGTTGGGACATCCCACAAGATGTGTGTCATCACAGAAAACATTTCATCAATGGATAGTTTTTTTTTCCGTTTATTTAAAGTGTGGTTTATGTCAGCTGAATGTGCGGAACGCTTTTCAGATAAGATAAGGCAACGTATTTTAGCACAATTCACACCCAGCGGTAATTCAGGAAAAATAAATCTCCGAATGCTCCACATGAAACTTTAGTCTCCCGACCTTACTATCGTGTCGTTTATTTTGATTAATGTGTGCGAGGGAGAGAGAGCGCTATTGAGACGGTGAAGCCGCCTTGCTCCGAAGAGAGAGAAAGAGTGCGCGCGCGCGACCGGGGCTCTCTCTCTCTGCTCGTTCAGTTTAACATGCGCCCTGTCTCAAGCGCAGCGGTTCAACTCCATTACTCACCGATCAAATAAGACTTTGGCGGTACAAAAATTTGCGTTGGATGCCGTACTATGGTGCTTGATAAAGGACAAAAGGGACAGTTGTGAGTTCACGGTCTGTAGCCTACATACTATGGCTGACTCAGAGCAGGAGGAGCATCGATAAGATGACTCGTTAACGTCGAGGGCATACAATATCGATGGATCGTAAAACTTAGAACCGGTTCTCGAGTGGAACCGGTTTTCAATTCCCATCCCTACTCATCAGTGAAACAGAAAGTAAGTGAGCGCATGTTCCTTCATTGTTTTCTTCTCTTTGACACAGGCAATGTTAAGTGTCGGATGGTTGGGCATCATGCTAGACTGGTTGACGTGGACTGTCGTCTTAAAGACGCTGTTGTGACGTCTCAAATTTGAGTAAAATGTACATTGCTCGGTTCATTCATTTTCATAACTCGTGCGTTGGGGGATGGGCATGACACTGACCTGAAATATAAGGACAGTTCTCCACTACGAGGACCATCATGTCAGGGTTAGGGTTTGTGGAAAAGATGTTGCTTTGGGTACAGTTGGTACTCAACACGAATAATACTTTTACCGCTCCCGTGGCGGTAAAATTCGGATGTGTATTTGCTGCCTTTTACCGCTAAGAGGCGCTACAATCACAGACTTTGAAAGGTGTCAGTTTATTCTCTCTATTGCGTAATCTACCGCCGCGCCGCGACTCATTCAGAGCGATTGAAAGCTGGTAACAGATGAATTCAAGTGAAACATTGTAGTTAAACGAATTCATAATCACAATACTGAAATTAAATTGAATAAATAGTGAAAACATTACAACATAAAACATTGCAACAGAAATATATTAGGCTATCAATGAGGGTCTGGAAGAGCATAAGACGTAATTTAATAGCGTTCAGACGGTAGCTCAGTGGTTAACGCAACATGAGCCTCACGGAGCTTCAAGCGATCCGAGATCGAATCTCAATGTAGCCAACATGCTGTTGGCCGACTTCATTTGTGTTTTACCGTTCTTGATGCTTAAATAGGTAACTGTTTATTAGCGAGTTCATTAACTGTTTATTTATTTAATGTCAAGCGTTTTGTTTAATTATCAATGCCACATTAACGTAAATTTGCTACATTCCATGTCCGCTGCACGACAAAACTGATGAGGGAAATGAAAATAAATAAAAAAAGAAAGCTGATCGTGTCAGAAAATGAAAATAATGAAGCTCGTCTTTAATCTGCTAAATTATTGTTTTGTGAATCATTCACGAAATTGAGTTGACTGACAGTGAGTGATACCTGGCCATAGCAACGGGAGAAATTTTTCAAAACAGATCCATACATTGAACAAATCAGAAAAGACTGATTTTGTTGACTTGACAGACTAACTAAATAGAAGGGGTGTGACGAGACGCTTATCTCACGAGACGAGACTAGACACGAGATTGGGTTCACGAGAACGAGACGAGACGAGATTTTTGCACAATTTTTCAGAAATCCTCAATGACAAAATTCATGGCTGGAAAAATAGTATGCAGGTGCATTTTTCAATGTTTTAACTAATAATCTTCTAATGCATGTCATTTCAGGTCTACTTTATGAGTATGAATTATCAAATGCATTGAAAGAAAACAATATTCAAGCACTGTAAAAGGTTTTTATTGACTGGCTTTTCTCCTGTATAATTTCACATTAGTCTCTTCAGACCTTACTGTACATTTAAGAGCTTTCAGAACTTCTGATTGAGGCTGTGTGTGACCTCCTAACTGAACTCCTTTTAACACACATTTAACAGAGAAATAAAAACCGTATAAATAACAAAAATAAATAACTGTTTTCTCTTAGTCTTATTAAGTGCAAACAATAAGTGCGAGTGCAACCATAATCAAAGTTAGCACACAGACTCTTTATAATTGTTGTGAAATTGCGGTTTTATTTTGCACCGGCAGTTATAGGGTTAATGCAGTGAGTTCGGAAAAGGCCGAGAGAAACGAGGCTGTTTGTCTCTACAGTTGTTCTTGCGTTCCGATTATAAGTTCAGAAACGGAGCCTCCCTTGTCTGTTGTCCTTTGTACGTTACAGTGCTCTCTCAATATTCGCAGTGCCAACAGAGACCAGAGCCGCAAATAAACAGTCCAGAGATGGGTATTGGGAGACGGATTATTTTATGTATGCAGCCTAATTTGTGCGCAATGCACATCAGGGAGTTTGTGTTTTACTTTCACTTACAAATTCGTGACCGCGCGTATAGGGAGCAGCGGTGCTGAGCGCGCATTCTACAAGATAAGACATTTACCAGACGTTTAGTCTGTTGCGCAACGAATCCTCCGCCATCGTCACGCGATCAGTGAACTGTGATTCGTGCTGCACTGATTGCAACGGCAACTCGTGCTGGATGAGCAGAGCAGACTTTTGCATTAGTTTATAATGGTTTTTATTTTTTTATAAAAACAACAAAACGATAGTTTAGGCGAATGTGAGTGTAGCGGTGGAATATTAATGGGGATATCGCGAGACAGCTTTTTCACTTGACGAGAAATCTCGTCATATTTAGTCTCGCGATATCTCGTGGCACGAGATCTCGTCACACCCCTACTAAATAGTATTACTTTCAATATAAAAACAAATGAAAATGTAAAAGAACACTACAATTAATTAAGTTTGAAACCCATCGCAAATTTTGAAGAATGTAAGAAACACAGAATCTTATTCTTGCAACATTTTAAATTTGTATTGCCAAAGAAATTTCAGCTAAATTAAACAATTAAAACAGTACAAAACGAAAATAGTCCAAAGCCACATAAATTAAGAACATGCGTTTTTCTTTGTCTGTCTCTCGTGCTGGATCTCTTTTTAGCAAGTTTATTTTGTCTCCCTCCCTCCCTCCCTCCAAAAAAAAAAACTGTAACAAATTATTTAGCCTTTGTTGCTTCAAAGACAAAGCATGCCTTGTTGAATTCACCTTACAATAAAACGAGGTTGATCGCAAATTAAAGAGCTCTGTATCTGCTGTGGCATGAACGTGTTTAGTCAACAGTTAATGTTTAGATAATGCCAGATTGTTGACAATCATACACAGTGCTCATTCTAAAACTCTAAAACTCTACAAAACCAGTTGAAACAACTGGATTGAACACTTAAATTGAAATTTTGTGTGAAAACTTTAAATACAAAAAATAAACTACAATATTTATAATTTAATAAGATATAGGGCCTACATTTGGACACACCGAGAGATTTATAAGAATTTAGCCTTTGCCTGCTCATTGGGCTGGCTATCCGACATCTCCATATGAAAGAGGAACATTAACACCTATTGTGCCGATAAAGCCACTGTCCCTCCAACCCCCCCACAGGCTCTCTGAGACTGACTTACAACAAAAAGAAGTCGCAATTCACACTTAAACCGCTATTCTAGCATTAGACTATTAAAGTGTTGATAATGAAGGAATTAAATAATGTAAGCTACATGTAGTGATATTTCTGTCATGAAACTTTATTACTAAATATTTCATTTCAATAATTCATTCAATTTCAATAAGTTGTTCTTTTTTATTCAAATAAACCTCGAACCACAGTGCTCCGTTGTGCTGCTGTTAAACTAAATAACATTTATAGAATAATTATGAACTTAAATGAAACAATATAGCAACATTTCGACAAAAATTATTTGATCTGCTTTTACATTTTAATTCAGGGCGATTTAGCCTACATTTAATTAGAGCGAGATTTTCCCCCTTGTCCTTTCC